AAACACCCCAGACCTCCCCAGATGGTCTCTTTAAAAAGATGAGAGTATGAGGATGGAGGAATGGATGGAAGACTCGGGGAGGACTTCCAGGATGGCTGATTTGTTCTTTCCTATTTAAATGCTAACCTAAATAAAAGGGAGAAAACTAAGTGAGACGACTCCATGGCAGCCTGAAACACATCTCATGCTGTTCATGGCTGCTGGGAGGTCATCCTCCTCTCTTTAACAGGTGTTTACTGTGAGGTCGTCCCTTATTTTAAGGGGAGAAAAACACACATGAAGCCAAGAGGGTCCATTATCTCATCTTTTAATATCACATTCATGTCTATGCTCTGTTTTGTTTACAAGGAATTAAAACAAGTGTTGAGGACCAAAGGAATCAGGCAGGCAAAGGGTGAAACTCCATACACCGTAAAGGCCTGGCCACCTTCCGCTGGAGGACGGAGGCCTCACAGCAGTGCTGAAACACCTCTGCTCACCTGCGCAGGGCCTCCCTCCTCCCCCGGGGGGGCACAGGCAGCTCAAACAACAGGTCCTTTTGCTATCACAGAGAAATCATCAGAGGTGAAACAGATCATGTCGATGGAGAAGGTCCTTGCAGGGTGCTCTAACGTTTTGACAAAGAGAAAGAAAATGCTAAATACACCCGAACACAAGAGATACAATCTGCTGTCAGAAAAAGTAGAGAAATTAAGAGTCAACACCAACTAAACATGGAGAACATTTTGAAGTTAAAAAAGTATACATGTAATGAAATGAAAGAAAAAAAGTCAATTGGATGTAGAAACGTATTCAAATTAATAATAGGTGGTAAATTTCTGTCCTCTCCTCTCAGGTTATTATCCTATTTCATAATCCTTTCATAATTCACTAAGAATGAAAAAAAGAAATAAAGTCATCTTTGGAAGAGGTATACATTTTTAGCTTTAATAGACTATTGACTAAAGTATATGGAGATGCTGCTACCAAGTCATTCAATAACCTATATCTCTTTTGAGTAATTTCTTTCTTCATTTTTTGGGGGTTTATTCTATGTTCTTTTTCAAAAAGAAAATACTGTTTATCTATTTTTTTTCCTAAGAGGTAGATTAACGAAACAATTACATGATTTCCGGAGATGAATCACAAGGAAGGGATATGTGGAGCAGCACTGGGGCAGAGCTGAAGTGAAGGATTGTGGGAAGTCCGAGCAGTCAGTCGCATGTAGAAAAACGAGTGGGAACAGTGAAGCTGTGGTTTAAAATGAGTTCCAGTTAGGGCTGACTGTCAGAGGACGGCCAGCAGCTCTGGGCTGCTGGCCCCGCCCACGAGGCCAGCCCTACCGGCCGTTCTGCAGCCCTACCGGCCATCAGCCCTACCGGCCGGTCTGCTGCCCACTCATCCACCACTGGCTGACTGAGCTGAACTCCAGAGGAAACGGTCCTACTCAGTGATGGTGGGGAATAAAGAAACAATCTTCTATCCGTTTGGGGGTGCTTTGAGGTAGCGTTGCTGGTTCTGTGTTGAGAGGTTTGCATGCTTTTGTGTGTGTCTCTTTCCCCGTGGTGCTGTTTTCCTTTCTGGAGCCCATCTCAGCCAGGGGACAGAGGGCTTACCCGAGGCCCCGAGGAGCTGACGCTACCCCCCGGCACACCTGGGAGTTGGGGGGGGGGGGGGGGTGCTAACTAACTCTACCCGGATCCCCTCTGTAGCCAGCAACCAGCAGCCGGAGCTCGCAGACTCCACAAAGAAGGAGCCATACGGGTCTGGGCTTTTGTGGGGTGGGGGGGTGGTGCTGGGCTTAGAGTTCTTCTGTTTGGTGCTAACTGAATGCACGTGCTGTCCATTAGTGCTGACCATCCGCTCCCCGACAGGAGGGCAGCCGGGCTGTTACCTGTGAGGGGCCCGGCTCTCTGACAGGCTCCCAGCCTCCGGGCCCAGCCCCTGGCCCCTGCAGCCACGCAGAGGCACAGCGCTGACCACGCTGGACGCCACACCAGTGTGCAGACAGAAAACATTTCTATGTCACACTAGCTGTGCAGCACACTTGTTTAGCTGGTGACTTTAAAGCCAAACCCAGCAGACGGGGTGGTACACTTCTGTTTTTAGCCCTACAAATGAACACTGCACGCAGGTAACAGATCTGGGAGAAGATGGTCAGCAGTAATCTGAAGTATTTAAGTGTGAGCATGAATTAAAAGGGTCAAATGTTAGTCTTTAAACAGAAGTCGCTGAACACAACTACAACGATTCAATCTCATGATGCTCCAAACGGTGGCAGCACGATGCCACAGTCTGTCTGAGCCACTGTCCAGCCTGGAAGCGGTCCAGTCTGGGTTCTGAATGCAGGGGGAGGGGGGGGGGGCAGTGGCATGTGGGATGCGGGAAATGCAGCTTCTCTGCAGCACGTTCAAAGAAAAGAGAAATAGGGGCGGGCTCATGTCGAGGGTGGGATAGAGCCACATGGACAGAGACACCTTCACATCACAGTGAGCTGGTGCTAGGGGCCTCCATCGGGTCAGTGTGGATTTACTGCATTCTGGACTGAGCCCTTTCTGTGGGTTTGGCACAGATTCTGTCATGTTCTGAGCTACTTGTTACCACGTCTTTATATCTAGTAGCCATTTTGTTAATAAGTCTGTGCATCAAACTGGTTTTTAAAAAAAAGAAAAAGAAAGAAAAACGTGATAAAAATTAAACTGTTTTCACTTGTTTTGAAAAGAAAAAATTTCATCTTTTTTTTTTTTAAAGTAATGAAATCAACCATGTCTAACAGAAGTGAGCAAAACAAACACGATGGAGACCAGCGTGAGAGAGGGCGAGGGACCCTGACACTCCTGCCCACGCTCCAAAATGAAAAGTCAATCAAAACCTCTCACTTTTCTCCTAGACTACCGAGCTGTGGGGGGGGAGCTGGGTTGTAGTGAGACTTGATGGAGGACTATGTGAGCACCTCCCCTCCTCTCTCTCCCCCCTCCACACTCCTCTCTTTAACATTTGCATAAGGCGTTCCCAGTTCTTTTGTTAGTTCGATGCCATCGATGTTTTCTTTCATCAGTTAGTGCAACAGTACGTCCCTAGATGTCACGGTCAAATAAAGCTTGCTGTATTTCAAATCATCAGAAATCTAAGTAAAGAAGAAGTAAGGAATCCTAATCAACCCAAAAAGGAGCAGGCTGCCGGTGAGTCCCGGGCAGCCCGCCTGGTGGTGGTGAGCAGAGCTCTATGGGTCCCAGTGAGGGTCAAACTGAACAGAACAGCCATGAAGCCAGCACCTCCGGGCAAAAATGGAAGCACAGACATGAAGGAATAGATGTGTCCCTGTTTGCTGGTTAGCTTCTCGGGCAGCCGGCGTGCATTGGAGTGCTGGTAGGACCTCAAAAAGATTCTGGCAGTATCTGTCTTTTCTCAACAGCTTCCACTACTCTGCTTTTTAGACTTTTTCTCCAAAAGTACAAAAAAGTGTCAACAGGTACAGGTTGCAATCTATTATGCAGCAGTGTTGTTGTTTTTGCTCCCATTTTTTAAGAAGATGCTCTTTTCTCTCCATCCCCTGGCAGTTCATACACAGATGGAGGAGCCATGGGTTCCTGTCCTAGTTTTTAGTGTCACCCAACCACATCAAAATGCAAAAAAAACCAAAAAAAAACATGTAATATCAGTGAACACAAGCACACATCTCCATCCACTTGCACACGCATGGAGCCTACAGGAGCCTCTGGGGGTCGTGGTCAGTGCACAGGTAATAAATATTCACATTCAGAGACATCAGAGCTAGCTGCAAAGTGTGATGTCAGAAAATCTTTCAAAAGCTCAAATCAATGTCTCCTTTGTGAGTGAGAAAGGTAACCTGGTGTTTGGCTCGATGACGCCAGAACGATAATTAAGGAGAAGGTCTTCCTTCAGGGCTCAGGAAGCCAAAGGCCACTAACAGTGAGGAGGCATAGAGTGGGACTCATCTCCATTTGCGGTGGATACAAAAGCCTGAGAGCAGCATGTTTGGTTGCCTTGAGCCTGTCAGAGCCCTTCTCAGGTTTCTCCAAACCCCAGTGGTCACTTTTCCATTTCACACAGCTGCTTGAGTCAGTGGTCATGCAGACACAAAGCAGGGATCCTTATCTAAGAAGGCAAAATGACACTAGCCCCATGTCCTCCATGGACCAGTATTGTATATGTCTCTGTTTTTAAAAAAAAAAAGGACAAATAGCATCTTCTGGTCGTCCTGAACTCATTCAGCCATCACATCCAAACACAAAACAAAAAAAAGCAACAAGACAATACGGAAAAGAAAACACCTTTTTTCTTAAAAAAATAAAAAATATTTAGGACTCTCCGCTCTTTTTTTTTCTTCTTATATAAAACACCAGCAAGCAAAAAAAAGTTAGGAATACTGAGGTAACTTTACCCTGAGGTAGGTTTTTCTTTTTCATTACTCGTCTAATCTGTTTCGATATGGGCCAACGCGTCCGCCGGCCCTGGTCAGCATGCGCGGGCGGGGGGGCGGGCGGGGGGGGGCGGGCCGGGTCTGAGGCTCCGCCCCCAGGCCTGTGGCTGGCTGGGAGAGCCAAACAGGGAGCTGTTCCCTCCGTCTGATGGTAACCACTGAGCTCAGGGCAGAGGTGTGGAGGACTTTTCCTGCTCTGAGAGAAGGAAAGCCTCCCACCCCCGCCTGCCTCTACCTGCCTCTACCTGCTCACCTGAGGGGCCGGGCTAACTCACATATCATATATATACAATATATATCAAATATGCCATGTAGGGCTGCGGGCTGGCAGCCAGCG